CGGCCAAAACAAGGTACACACCATTATCCAAAATAAAAGTTCACTACTTCGTTAGGTTTGTTTACGTGGAAATACCTTACATTATTAAGTATATGTAATATTTTGTTTATTTAGTTTAATTAATATTTATATTATTTTAAAAAAATTAATTGTAATTTTTAAAAATATTAATTTATAATTTAATTTTAATTTATAAAATAATAAATATCACTTAGTGATTTTTTTAATTATTAAATCAAACAAAATTAATATTTTTTAAATGATATCACGTGATCTTAATAAATTAATAAGTGGCCATGAACTAATAGGGTGAATTTATTGGCAGTACTTAACCTTTTAAGAATGAATCAATTTGGTCCTGAACCCTATATTTTTGGCAATTGGATCTCCCAAACTCTCTTTTCAGAGTCTTCACGTTCCAAATATGAGAGAGGGTTGGGGGTGTAGTAAAATATGCAACTGCTTTATTCTTTCACGATTTACTTCATGCTGAAAGGCTGTTTTGAGTTCAGCCACACAATATGAGGCATGAAAAAAGGCAGCCACTGCTTCAATTGCTTTCTTCAGTCAGTACATGTATAAAGCAGCATCTGTCCCCAGAGCCCCCAACACAGAAGAGTCAAGAGGAGCAGGAAGCCAACAAGAGACATGACTAGTCTCTCTCTCTCTCTCTCTCTCTCTCTTTTATGGTAGCTGTTTTCATCCACTATTTTAGTGGTCAAGATTCATCATGCATAACCTGCCAAGAAAAGTAAAAAAAATGTAATCTGCTACTTGTGGCTGCTGGGATTCGAGCCGAGGTCTCTACGGCCACAACGTAGAATTCTTACCACTAAACTGCAGCCACCTGTTCCTGTCGAGGATGCTTAAAAATTATACAAGTTTAATTTGCGAGCATAATAACAAAAACTTCAGTGGTAAATAGCCTGTTGGTTTGGAGAAATTGGAAGGAAAGACCAACTAAAACGAGGAGAAGATTACCATTTTGTTTGAACTCAAAATATCATCGAAAAGATTGAAGTTTATGCAATAAAAATTGTTTCGTAAACTGCAATGGTTAATATAATATAATCCTGCAAAATCTATCACATTATGACTGCAATGTTTGCATTCATATCCAGCACAACATTATGTTTTTTATTTTCTAGTGTTAAGCATATCCAGACCATTCAAAGTTAGTCTACCGACTGGAATAAAATAAAGTCCTACATCCTAAAATCCAGTTCATTCGCGTATGCTTTGAAGCAGGAACTTCAACTTGGCTGTCATTAGGAAATTTGGCATTAAAAGTTTTGTAACGAACAAGAAAATCCACCCTAAATGGACATATTATTTCTTAAAACTCAAGGACACGGAGCTACGAGCCTAGAGAACAGATTTTGTTGAATAAGTCTTTAGATATTTGTTTTTTATTGTTCTATTCTTTAGTTATTTGTTGAGTACAGGTCTTTGTATTTCCTAGTTATCAACAATACGTGTCTTATTTGTAGTTAAGTGGCTAAATGATTGCTATTTCATTGCTCAACTCAGTTGTAGTCTTGCCTTCTTTGTAAGGCCCTTTTTTTTTTTTTCAGTTGAATGTGATGTACAGGAGCATTTTCTCTTCCTATTGACTTAGGTTGTCTATTGTTTTTCAATTTCTTTTCACTTGCTTAATTTCGATTATGCCCAGCAGGTATTC